CGCTGGGCGAGCCCCCAACAGATATGTCCAAGCGGCCTCCCACTCGCCCATGTCCTCGCATAGGGGATGGGCCCAACCTCCATGTCTAGGGCCGGTCACACAGCGAAGTCTAGAAGGGGTCATAGTCATGTCCCCGGAGCAGAGAAATGATAAGGAGTTGGTGTGTTCCGCACCATCTCTCTACAAAATGCTGGCTCAGTGTCCTCAGCTGGAAGAAACAAACGTGACAACCCAATGCAGAGGCCCCGAACCCTGCCAAAGGTCCTACTAAATCTCGGACACCCTCCGGGAGCTCACGTACCAGTCCCGCGCGGCGGTGGAACATACACCCCCGTACACTGCGAAGAACCAATCCTGCGTTCAGCAAGAATACATGGTCAATAATGAAAAGTTTAGGCTGCGTGCCAATGAAATGAAATGGGCCTGCGTTGCCGATGAAGAAATGGGGCTGTGTGCCGATGGAAGTGAAATAATGCTGCATGCAAATAAATGAAGTAGCCGTTGTGTTCCAGGAAGGAAGTGTACGAACTGTGTGTCAGTATAAGTAACTTTCAATCAGTGTGGGCTACGTGTTCACTATTCTAATCTGGACTGCGTGTTTCAGAAAATTTGAAAGTTTGGGCTGCGTTGTTAAACTTTCAATCAGTGTGGGACGCGTGTCACTATTCTAATCTGGGCCTTGCGTGTTCAGAAAATTTGAAAGTTTAGGCTGCGTGTTCACTTTCAATCAGTGTGGGCTGCGTGTTCACTATTTCAATGCTGTGGCTGCATGTTTCAAAATTTGAATTGGGCTGCGTGTTCAACTTTCAATCAGGTGGGCCTGCGTTGTTCACTATTCTAATTCTGGGCTGCGTGTTCACCCAAATTTGAAGTTTGGGCTGCGGTGTTCACTATTTTCTAATCTAGGTTGCGTGTTCAGAAAATTTGAAGTTTGGACTGCGTGTTCAACTTTCAATCAGTGTGGGCTGCGTGGTCGCTATTCTACTCTGGGCTGCGTTTCAGAAAATTTGAAGTTTGGACTGCGTGTTCAACTTTCAATCAGTGGTGGGCCCTGCGGTGTTCACTATCTAATCTAAGGCTGCGTGTTCGGAAAATTTGAAGTTGGACTGCGGTGTTCAACTTTTCATTAGTGTGGGGGCTGCGTGTCATTATTCTAATCTGGGCTTGCGTGTCTCAGGAAATTGAAGTTTGGGCTGTGTGTTCAACTTTCAATCAGTGTGGGATGCGTGCTCACTATTTCTAATCTGGGCTGCGTGTTTCAGAAAATTAAAAGTGTGGGCTGTGTGTTCCTTTCGAATTCGGGCCTAGGTGTTCGACCAAATCAGTGTTTAGCCGTGTGTTCACCTCTAACTAAGCGTACTGTGCTTTCGCAATTAATTAATGAGCCGAGTGTTCAGAAAATTCGAGTGTTCAAACACCATGTTCGGATGCAGCAAAGTACTACGTCATAAGCTAAACTGTGTATCAGCATAGGCACAATGGTGCGAAATGTACGAAAAATGCAGAAGAAAGTAATACCTCCGGCCTCATAGAGAGGTATGCTCTTGTGCTCTCGGAGAAGCAGATCCCCGGGTGCTCGCTCCATCAAAAACAGTGAAATGACAGAAGACGGCACGAGGAAAGGACCAGTGCTGGCGGATTGTACCTCCCGGGAATAAGGAACGGACCCTCGGGGGGTAGAGTCATGGATCAAAATCGTCTCCGGCACTTGGAAAGCCTCCGCCGTGGGGAGACTTACCGTCATTGTTCAAGAATCTGCAAACGGAGCAAAAATGAGCGAAAATGAGCCAAAATTGGGAAAAAGTCCACAAAAGTCAACTCTCGGAAATGGAAAAAAGTCCAACAAATCAACTCCCCGAGAAAATCTTCCAAAATATTGAGACAACTTCCTCAAGTGGCGAAAAAAGGAGAAAAGACGCTCCGAAACCGAATTTAATTCGCTTCAAAAGTGCTTGAAACTGAATATTTTTGCGAAAACAACTTGCGGGGGCGTTGGAAAACGCGTATGGAACTGAGATTTGGAAAGAAAGTGGTGTAGAGGCAACAGAAGGAGGAATCTCGGCTGCATTATATAGGCTCCAGTCCTTGGGATGAAGGACTGAAGAAAGAGGTGAAAGGACCAAAATGCCTCGTTTGGGGCCATATGGCCGGCCGGCCACCTTTTCTAGCCGGCAGCATTTTCCTTTTTTTGGAAAACCGGCCCGGCCAGGCCATTTACTTTTTGGAAAACCAGCGGCCACCTCCCCCATCCCATAAAACTCGCGCCGCCATGTCCCATCCAGGCCACCTATTCTCCCTGCAAATTTTGAGGAAGATCGAGTTCCCGGGACCTGAAAAAGTTTAAGAAAAGTACAACTTCCGGTCGCGATGATATATTTGCTCCACCGGATAACTTCAGCTTCAAGATCCTGACTATGTGTCCTCATCATCATTCACAAAAATCAAAGTGTCTCCTTCTTCTTGAATGAGTTTGTAGCCTTTCCAGGAAGTGGATATCGGAGGCTGTCGAGATGCGAGTCCGCCTTCGCCGAAAACACGCATTTCCGTACTCAGTTATTTCATACAAACGAGCACGCCTGATTAGGCTCGCTTTGCAACTATCCAATGCACATAACTATGCATTCTCATGCGCATACTTGCATTATTATGCACAAGTTCATCCTTGATGTTGACACCAACTTTCTGTGCTTGAGCAATGCGTTGTCACGCATGTTCACACTCTGCATTGTGCGATGCATGCACTCACGGCACTTAGCGTGTCGGTCAAATCTTCAAATCACTATGAATAACATGTTGGTAGCAATGTACTTGGTGCAAATTTCTCTCTTTTACGGCACCGATATTGTATGTACGGTTTCAAGTTGAGGCCTGCTGGCCGACCAGAACGAATCGTGCAGGTATCGTATCTTCTCCGAGTGAGACGTGGAGAGATTGAACAATCTCCGCATTCTTAACTGCATGAATATGTAGTTGTTGCCTTGCATTCCCTTGCTTAAACACGTTGCACTAGTGCGAATACTTGCTCATTAACAGCTTGCTGTATTTGCATGATCATTGAGTTTATGTCCCGGCTTCTTGCATATCGCTTCTGCGCATTTTGCCCTCCCTGCCTGCGGGCCTGCCTGCAGCAACGAATCTCTTTTATCCTTGTCTGTTTGTCCTAATCTTCGCCTTGTCAAAAATGGGTCGTCTCTGGGCTTTGACATTCACGTCCCGTCACTTGTGACTTTCGAGTTTCTGTCAAAGAGGGCCAACTGTAGACCTTCATTTTTGACTGAGCCTAAGATTCAGACGCGCTACTCGGATTGAAGCGCTCTCGGTGAATATGCATAATGTGCTCGTTCAGAACTTTCAGAGTTGCGGGGGCCGTGAGCCCGCCTCCGGACTCCTGAACCTCTTTTGTGCTTGTCTCAGGTTTGCCGAACACAGGCTCAGTTTTCTCTGTTTCTTTTCCTGAGAGGAGGGAGAGGTCCGTAGACCATCTCTCAGTGGCCGTGGGCTACATTTGGTGGCCGTAGGCCTTTGGCCCATTTTCGGAGTCAGGTTTCTGGTTTTCGGGATCGTTGGCCCAATGTGCCTCGATTCGGGACCGCTTAACCCTCTCCGTTTGTTTTGATTTTTGGGCATAGCAATCTTATTTTCCTGCCCTTTTGAGGGAGACTGGGGTCTGAGAAACCCCCTTCGTGGCCAAATGCCACTTTTCGGTGCTTAACAGCCCATTTTCGGGACTCCGCCTGCGGTGTTTGGCCTCCCGAGCATTTCGTTTTGCAACGGTTTCGTTCATTTTTTGGCAGGGTCTCTGTTTTATCACGGGAGGTCAATCTGAAGATGGGAGGCCAGTAATTGTTGCGGCACACCAGTTAATATCTCCGACGCCCCTCCGACCGCCCGTTTTTCAACACTTCCGGGCAATGTTTGAACCACCTTGGGCCGCATTTCTCTTGAACTTTGAACCACATATTTTGTGATGCCACACTTGGAGGATCCTAAAGTTGGTGGCCGGCCAGTAATTCCACCCTGACCCTTTTTGAACCCCTCCTTCCGGGTAATGTTGAACACCTTGGGGGCACTATTCCTTGCACTTTGAACCACATACCTGTGG